AAAAAAAAAAAAAAAAAGAAATATCAAATTACTACTGTACTATATTAGACGCATTTTTTTTCAAGCATAAATCATGTTTCATAGATTAGAATATTCAATTCAGAGAAGACTTGACTTCTGTTCTACTTTTGTTTTATTTGTTGAGGGTGAGACTAAGGAACACTGGTTGCTGGGTTTGGATTTTATCAGGGGTTGTTCTCAATGTGCTTGTCTAGGTTATTGGCTGAGATGAAATAGTTCTGATTTTAGTGGAATATGCCCCTTGGTTCCTGTGGTACTTTTGATTAGCTAATTGAGCGTTGTTGGTGCATACGGTGTTTGCTCCTCCATTTGAATGATGATACTTGATAACATTAGCATGGTCAACTTTGACACTGGGCATTGGACTTGCCATGGAGATGGATTTTGTTTAACCTGACCGTCATCTGATTTATTCTCCTGTTTTAAACAAAATCTTTATCTTTCCTAATTCCTACAACGTCCAATTATAGTGGGTCTTCACTAGCAATGTCTCTCCTCAGTGTGTAGTTTGGTCCTCAAGGCAAGGGTGCTGAAGTATTACATGCTTGCTTTTTCTGGGAATTATGGTTTCAGAAAGGCAGTTATTTCCTAACCAATATTGATTATGTTTTACTCCTATACTTGCTGTTTTTCTTTTCTTTTTTTTTTTTGGTGTGGTTATTTTTGGGATTCATTTCATCCGTCTTTTCATATCTGGAGGTTGGGGCCGATTTGGTATATGTTCCAATTGGGCTTTTGTGTGCATAATTCCAACTGGACTCTAGTCAGAATACTTGATATCCCTTTGGGATTAAACAACATGTGTTCGATCGAAGGGTTCCCCTTTCAGTTCATGCGAGATCAAGGGAGCACCTATTTAAGAATCGTTACTATTCAGATTTCGTTGCTGTTGACTGTGTGCCTTCCTTTGGGATAAGACTTTTTTCATCTTCTTTCTGCTGGTGCTAATGGTTTAAAATAAATTAGATTCATGGTGTGCCAAGTTGTACAAAAGGTATTAGTGCAAATTTTGGCCAATATAAACCAAGTACAATAGTTGTGGGCTGAAAGAAGAAAGCTGGTGAGGACAATCTTGATGACGCTGCGGGGGTGCACGCATGTGCGTGTCTTGTTTTTGGATAAAATGTGTGGCAATCTCTTTGGTTAGTGTGTTNGCTGAAAGAAGAAAGCTGGTGAGGACAATCTTGATGACGCTGCGGGGGTGCACTCATGTGCGTGTCTTGTTTTTGGATAAAATGTGTGGCAATCTCTTTGGTTAGTGTGTTTTTCTGTAAGTCCAGGGGAATACTATAATTCATAAAAGGCAACACTTGCCCTTGGGGCTTTCTATTTGATTGTATCAAAAGGCCCAATGAATTTGGATTTCCCTATTGGTCCAGGTCATTTCGGGGCAAGGGGATCATTTTTGATGAAGAGGATGAGCTTCAAGAGAATGATTCTTGATTCCGTCAACGTTGTGCAGTCTCGCTAGATGGACAAATATTCCATGCATATCCTTTATCCTTCACATCCAAACACTAGAGGGGATCAATTATGTCTCATTGGCCTCATCCAAGCTACAGTGGAGGGGAGTTAATGTTAGTATTTGTTTATTTGCCCTCAAGTTGGGATGTTTTGTATGTAATGATCACAATTTTCTATTCTATTATTGAGGAGTCAGTCGAAGTGGATGCTATGATGTCATACGGTATTTGCATGATCTGCGCGACTTATGTGACGAAAAATACTTGTTTGGCTATTGAAGTGGGTTAGATAATGCCATGCATCTCTTTTTCTTTCTTTTGTTTTTTTTTTTTGGTTGGTTCTTTTAAGAGTTGAGTGTAGTGGTCATAAAAGGTAACAGTTTCCCTTGTCCTGTATTGATCGTTAATTAAGTGTTTTACAATCTAATGATACAGTCCGACTTGAGTAAGGTGGATGGCGTCTTCTGAAGTGGTTTGATCGGTATATGCAGAATGATTGTTGCAGTTCAATACCATCAATGCTATGACAAAGTTGTATTCGAGGAATTTAATGGTCCATATCATGAGAATTTCTGAAAATGAGGATGTTTAGATTAGTGTCAAGACAGAAGAACAAATATATGAGAACTGAGTGCTTCTGTTAGAGATTAAAAAGATTTTTAAATAATGAAAACACGAGCAAAGATTGAAAGACCACCTGGCTTAATGGTAATTGATTTGGAGAAAAGATGCAATTCCCATGGATTCCAGAAGATATATCACTAGATGGAGTTATCAAAGTGGATCCATGCTGTGGCCCAAGTACTGTAGTTGTGAATTTGTTTGTTTTTGGTTTTGTCCTTTTCTACTTGATGTTTATTTTGTTGTCACATTAGTGGCCTGGGTAGTATGTCAGTAAATCTCCTCAATGAAGTGGGTCATACAGGCTTACAAAGTATCTGTAGAACTCTGCCAATTAACATTGCTCTATTAGAGAGAAGGGTTTATGTGTCCACTTCAACTTTGTTTGCATTAGCTATAACCTATAGGATATCTATTTTGAAATCCTATGACAACTGCCATCTATTTGGTGCCCCTGGGGATCTTGCCTCTCTTTTCCTTCTGAGTATCATGTGCTAAAGTTCAAAGCTACAGCATTTTGAGTAGAAAATACTTGTATACAACCTTTCCTCCCCTGCTTCTGTATGGATTTCAATATCTGTATCATGTTTTCGCAGTTATTGTCTCGCCTCATGGAATGCGTGGGAGGCTTACCGGATGTTGCCCTAGTGACCTTGTGAAGCAAGTGTATATCAGGTCGAATTAATTTATTATCATTGGTAAAAAAGAAAAAAATAATTCTTGATTTTCCTTTGTTCCAATTGATCTTCTAGTTCATGCACAAATCGACCAGTCTTGTCATTTAATGGAGCCCCTATACAGCTATTTTCTTTTCCATTCTCATACTTCTTCCTTTTTATAATACTTGGACAGTTCTGGCAAGTTCAGAGCTTCAAATGGAATTGTAGGTCTACCGTACCATGTTTCTCAGGGTTCTGGTTGTCTGCTGAGGGGGCAAAATTGCTATGTTGAAGTTACCGTTGGTTGCCAGACCCCTGGAAATGACATGATGTTGCAACAGAACTCAATTACTACTAAATTTTTTCCCAAGCATCATATTTCTGAAATCCCTGCAGTAGCTCGAGGTATGCACAAGGTGTCACCTGATCAATGTTCAGCCTCTGATAGAACATTTATTTATCCGGTAGAGACCGTGCTTGTCCCCGTCATGCAAACTTCTTTTGCTAGATCTTCTTTGAAAAGGTATGCTTTTTTTTCCTGATAATTATTGGTTTAATTAAAATCTTAACTTTTGAAGAGCGGTTTGGTCTTTGCCTCAATGGCATGTAAAGTAGATCTCATCTGGTGGATCCAGTTGGACTGGCCTAGTAATGATGTCATAATCATTTTTCTAGGCAATAATCAATTAGAGAGGCATCTAGCAAGCCTTGAATTTGAATTTGACGAAATTTGTTAGTAACCAAGTCTGTCGGACATGGATACTATTTGGACATACTTTGATATGTGAAACTGTTTGATTTTTTTTATTTTTTTATTTTTGGGAATTTTGGACACATGTTGGGCATTCTGGGGATAAAATTAGGATCACCAGAATTTTTTTTTGGGACAATTTGAGTCAATTAGAGTTATAAGGAGTCTTTGCATTTTAATAGAAAACCAAAAAAGAAAATAGGGAAAAACTTTGTGGCTTTCTATCCTCCTTATTTTCTTTGTGGCTTTCTAGCTTGCAGTGGTTGTTAACATCGCACACATTATGCCAAAATTTCTTTTTCCTTCTCGGATAACTTTTTCCATCAATTTTGATTTTCTGACTTTGTTATGGTGATCTTGCTATAATGTTGTGAAGCTGAGTAATATTTGAAGCTTCTGATGATAGATTGACATCGTACTGATTTGATTTTGGAGTTTTTGGATATATGATTTAATCTAGATATCATTAGTCTTCTCCTCTCTAATTATATGTGTGTGTGTCTTGTCTACTTTCATGCCCTATTTTTTTGAGGAACTTAGTGTCGATGTGTCGTATCTGTGGGTTGTGTCTGTTTCTATATTTCTTAGTTAAGAACTTTGAAATTTACGAATACTGAAGCTACAGATAGTGGCATCATATTATGCATTATACTTTGACAATTCCTTTGAACCCCTGCCTCCCCTTCTTCAATTGGGTCAACATGGCCAATCAGGGTAAGAACAGAGGCTGAGGAAATTTGATGCCTTTTTGCTATTGCTGCTCCACTGTGAGAAAATACGTAGATATATTAATGTGTGTGTGTGTAGTCGAGTAAAGACTACATGAGTGAATGCAACCGAAGCACTAGGTTTAAGAAAGAGGTTGGATTCGAAGTCTGTGCAAGTATCAATGATTCCCTTACCGAGAAGTTGAGACCAAACCTTGAAAGGGTGTGGGAATACTTTTTCTCTTTGGAGGACGCAAGAATTCATTAAATGTCGTTAGGGTTCAAAATAGATTCTACAATATTGAACGTAGTTCAAAAACATTGGTTTTTTGTTAATAAACTAACACCATTTTTCTCAACCTGCAGATTCTGGCTACAAAATTGGTTGGGGCCATCATTATCTGGGTCATCCTTCTTTATGCATGGGCAAGTTCACTTATTTAATGTTTGCAATCATTGTTTATTGGATTTTCCTTTTCCTCTGTGAATTTGGTTTTTTTTTCTTTTCTTTCTGAATTTCCCTATGGTTAGTCCCTGAAATGTCATGCTTTCCCCTTGTTGTAGTTTCGGTCTCGGCGGTGATGGCAAAGTAGATTCTGCAGATGTATCTTGGCTTGACCACACTGGCATTCACTCTNTGTAGTTTCGGTCTCAGTGGTGATGGCAAAGTAGATTCTGCAGATGTATCTTGGCTTGACCACACTGGCATTCACTCTCAGCGTGGTTATCACAGCAGTAGCAATAGTAATAGTAGTAGTATCAGCACCATAGGTAGTACCTCTAGCGATAGCGATTACAAGACCTCAGGAGGGGGTGACCTTGAGGCGGATGCTGATTCTTTAACATGCAGACAGTCTGGTTTATCTTCTACTGATCAGTGTCGTAATGATGGTCTCAAAACGGTATTGCACTTTTCTACAAACAGAAAGGACCTTCAGTAAATAATGAAAGTACAAGTGTCCATGTTAATGCATGTGCATGCTATGAAATATCCATATGCATGATATATGTCTGCATTTTTTCTATGAAGAATTTTTTTTTTTGTGGGGTTTAAGTTGTGATTATATTGCAGTTGATCGCATGAGCTGTTTAATGTTGTGTGATCTCAGTCCACGCCTGTTATTGCTTACTCAGTGCTCACGCCTGGTGCCTTTTGGTATTGATATTTGTATTATTAAAGACTATTTAGTCTTCATCCTGCACCTCTTTGTTAGATTATCAAAAAAATTAAAGGCTGTTTAGGGTTGCCGGTCTATTCTCTTTAATGATATGCAAGCCACCTGATTCTGTGATTTTCTGTACATTTGAGACTGGAAAGTGGGCTTTGGATTTGGGTTGGGAAAATGGTGGCATGGTGAATCCAGATTGGTAGATCTAAGAAAATGTTGGAAGTGTGCGGGATTCTTCCTGGTTAGATTAGTATTGATGTTTTTTGCGGCTTATCTGGGAAAAAACATAAACAAAGAAAGAAAAATAGTGTTGATGTTGGTTGTGACGGTAATCCTCAGGGGAGGATGAAGGTTTTTTTTACATATTTTTGTGCGGCAACAATTCAGTTGAAGTTTATGTATTATTTTTTTCTGCAACACTTGAATTTTTATGGTGGGTGATGCAAAAGAATATATGTAATGTCTGCTTGTTTTGGGAAAATGTTCTGTTAATTGTTTGATGCTGAAGGAAAGGGAGGTATGTAATATTGGCATATATATATATATATCTTCGATTTTTCTGTATTATTAAATTCGAGGTCACGTTTTAGTTATAGCGCTGGTTACTCTGTCGAATTGACTTTTTTTCAAACTTCGAAATACTGTTTTTTTTGCGATTTTAGTGAAGGATTGTGCCTCTTTAAGTACTTATGTAACATCTTACCTAAACTTTTTGCTAGTTGTTTAGTGCATAATCACTATTATTCAATAAACTGGCGAGTCTTCATAGCAGGATTGGTTTTGGCTGGTCTTTGTGCAAACATATTTTAGTGTTACTTCAGCTATTCTATATGTTTTTCTCTGTTCTCATACTCTAGTTGTATGCTGCAATGTGATGAATGACCTGCATTTTAAAGGGGGAATATTTCATTTGTTGATTGGAGTTGTTCGCTATGGCACTCTTACATGGATTTGGAAACCTACTTTCTGGATTAGATGTTTTCCTTAATGTTCTAATANATAGCAGGATTGGTTTTGGCTGGTCTTTGTGCAAACATATTTTAGTGTTACTTCAGCTATTCTATATGTTTTTCTCTGTTCTCATACTCTAGTTTTATGCTGCAATGTGATGAATGACCTGCATTTTAAGGGGGGAATATTTCATTTGTTGATTGGAGTTGTTCGCTATGGCACTGTTACATGGATTTGGAAACCTACTTTCTGGATTAGATGTTTTCCTTAATGTTCTAATACCAGCATTTTATGCCTTAAAGATATATTGTTCATAAGATAAGAACAGGAACAATTTCCAGTGATGCCAGAAGGTTAATAACTTGTGACTATTGGCAGAATTGTGACTAATGGATGATGCAAATCAATGTTATATTTCTACATGTCTTTCAGAGTCCATCATGTTATTCGGTTTTTAGTTCTCTTTTATTTGTGGTACATCTATGGGGTCAGCGGATGAGTTGCTCACTATCTATGCAGGGTTCTAAGCGACCTCGAGAATCATTTGGTCAAGCGGGTGCAGTTATAAATCCACCTATGCAAGATGCATATGGGCCCATCAAAGTTAATACTTCAGCCATTACAGCAGTTGCAAATGAGCAGATTGCATCTCATTGGGATTGGGATGACGACGACAAAGGTGTGGTTATAGATATCCAAGCTCTTCTGTCAGAGTTTGGAGATTTTGGTGACTTCTTTGAGAATGATTCTTTGCCTTTTGGGGAGGTAATCTCTTGTCCTAGAGGAATGAAATGATGACATCTTATGTTTTCCCCATTTACATATAAGATATATGTTGAGGAGCCCCATTTTGGTGGATCGTTCCCGAAGTTTTCCAACCAGATTTATGGTTTATTTCTACTTAATAAGTAGTTCAATTCTAAGAGCATGCCATATCGTTTATCAGTGGTGAACTGCATACTCGCTACATTTGGCTTTCTTCTTCCATTTAAGACCAAAAAAAATCGCAGTAGAGGGTGGTCCTTCAATTTATTATTTTGAGGAAACCTTTTCATTCTTTGAACTTTAAAATTTGAGTTTCTTTTAATCGCCTTAGTGGCAGTCAATGCGTGGTTTTAATCTCCTTTGTGGCACTCAATGCTTGGTTTTAATTTTGGTCCTCAGCATTTCCCTCTAAATCTATTACCATTTTGTTCTTTAGAGATTGCTGCATGCATAAATTTCTAATAACTTTTATCTTGGTGACCATGCTCTTTTCCTTCAACGAATGGCATGAATGAGCATATTTTAAACTTAGAACTGAATTTTTCTCATCATTTGGAAGCCCCCAGGAACTGCAGAGTCACAGGCTCTTATGTTTTCGGCACCAGAATGTGGAGATGTAGGTAGCAGCCCCTCTACTATGATTATAGATGTGTCAGATCAAATGCTTTTGCCAGTAGGGTTTCCATCCTTCGAGAGCTTTAATTTACCCCCTCCTCCAGCAGCCATGGAGGAGCCACTGAGCAAAAACCAAGAAGTCACGAAGAATGCTGTAACTTCTGGTCCAGTTAACTACACTCCACCGTCATGTATTGGTGAGTTTGATCATTTGGTGAAAGCTGAAGCACTGATGACATTTGCACCAGAATATGGTGCGGTTGAAGCTCCTACAAGTGAGTTCTCCCCATCCATATTCAGAAGCCCATATGTTCCAAAGTCCCGGAAAGCGGAAACTGTAATTTCAAGCTCAAACAATTATGTATATTCTGCAACACCACCTTTGTCTCCTTGCCTCAGTGGATCAGATGAGAAGCCTGGCACGGCTGTACAGGATGCAAGTGCCATTTCCCACTCAAGGAAATATTACACTCATGTTGAAAGTGGAAAGGAGCATCATGATGGAAGATTATCTACTTGTAACAATGGCATTGCAACTCGTGATGGTGTGACTCCATCTGCGTTCTCTGGTTTTAATTCTTCAAATGCTGTCAATTCAGTCCACAGAAAAACAAATGAAGGCGCAGTAGGATCAGATAATCTCCTTACATCTATGAAAACTGTGCTTGCAACTGAACTTGAATGCATCAAGTTCCAGGCTTTTATGTGCAGGATCCGACATACACTGTTTTCTTCCTGCAACCCCCTACCTGTTGGCTTGAGTAAGTTTTCTGGAAGCACTGTTCTGAATCAGCTGCATGGTGACCCAAGCATCGTGACAGACAATGTTTCTAGTAAATTTGATGTGAAGAAGAAAGAATCCATTCCTATTAGAATAGCTGGTGACATTGATGGAGGAATGCTAGATGGCCCCCTGAATGCACCTGTTGGTGTCTGGCGCTCTGTTGGAGTTCCTAAAGCTGGAAAACCTAACACACCTAGTATGGAAGTTTGCCCATCTTTGCCTCATAATTCATTCAACGAGGAGGCTATGCTCTCTTATAGACACAAGCAACCGCTTCAGGAGCTTCTTCATGGCTTGGCATTACTTGTCCAACAGGCTACTTCATTTGTTGATGTGGCACTGGATGCTGATTGTGGTGATGGTCCTTATGGTTGGCTTGCATTACAAGAACAGTGGAGGCGTCAATTTTCCTGTGGACCCTCTATGGTCCATGCAGGTTGTGGGGGAGTTTTGGCTTCTGGTCATTCCCTAGATATTGCTGGTGTGGAGCTAGTGGATCCACTTTCAGCTGATGTAAGCTTCTTTCATTTTTCTATGGAATGATTCTTCTTCTCTTTACTTTTGACCTAATGAGCAAGGGAAAGTAACATTGTTTATTTTTCCTCGGAGCCATGTCATCCTGCATCTCTCTTTCTATCAGAAGAATTACTAACTCGTTATACTAAGTGTCTAGTACCACCATGATATTCCTGTGTTGTAATTCTCTGGAACAGTGATCACTCACCTTTTTTTTTTTAATCTTTTCCCTAGAAGTTCAAGTTAGAAAGATTTGATAATTTGAGATTAAGTGATCGTAGTAACATGGAAAAGTTAGTCATGTTATGGCTGCATAGGGCATTATTCACCATGGTGGAGCCACATACATGCCTGGGGGTAGGAGGATGGCCTTCTCTTAGATTTCAAAATTGCTAATTAGGCCCTCTAAATTTACTGGATTGTTGCCAGATATTGAAAGAAATTACGGTACTGCCATTATTAGTATAATGAATAATGAAAACAATAGGAGAAAAAATTCTTAACGTTTGCCACTCAAGCTGGAGCAACACGATGAGAAATGTGCATCATGAAACAAAGCCTATTGAAGGTGGACCAAGCCAAAGACTTGGTAAGAATATCAACTGGTTAATCGCCAGACTTGACATATGGAGTTATAATCTACTTTAACACTAGGAGATACTAAATTAATTTTGATGTGTTTGGTGCACTCTTAGGGTATTTGGGTGTCACAATGCAGCTGCAGAGAGATATCATAGTACATTTTTTTTTTTGATAGGAAACGAAAATGTTGTATTAATGAAGATTGAAAAGTACATCAAAAATGGTTGCATAAGAAATCAACCAAGAAGTTGAGAAAAACAAAAAGAAAAACTACATAAAAGGACTATAAATTACATGAAGCTCTCCATCTCACTAGAATTGCAAAGAGCGGAGATAGCACATCAGTGCCCATATTACGAAGTAGAGAATGAATCCATAACATTTTACATACGGAATGAGCCTTGACACGATGTTAAACCTCTACACAAGAATGAGCCACCACATTTTTTATTGCACCAAGTAACAAGATTGTCACGAACATACACAATGAGAATAATGACACATGTGGAGAACTGATGTGATTATAGAATGGTCTGAAGTAGAGCGTTGAAAGCCATATTATAGCACAACACTATTGAATTTATCAAACAATGCCCAATTGATGATTTCTTTAAACGATATACTAATTGTTCTCTCCCAGGAGTAATATGAGCTAGTTACTGAATCGTATATGCTTTCTCCTATATATCCTCATGTAGAAAAACAGTCCTTATATCCAAATTGATATATAAACCAATCAAAACTCTTGCATAGAAAGCAGAACTTTAACACAGTGAAGATGGGCAACGAAAGAAAATGTGAGACAATAATCCACACAATGTATTCGACATAGTCTCTNGAATCGTATATGCTTTCTCCTATATATCCTCGTGTAGAAAAACAGTCCTTATATCCAAATTGATATATAGACCAATCAAAACTCTTGCATAGAAAGCAGAACTTTAACACAGTGAAGACGGGCAACGAAAGAAAATGTGAGACAATAATCCACACAATGTATTCGACATAGTCTCTGGCAACCAGCTGTGCCTTTAAATGTTCAATGGAGCTTTCTGGATAATATTTCACAGTGTAGACCCAATGAAAACTAAAAAGTTGCCTACTAGAAGGAAGATGAGTGATATCACGTGTCTAATTCTCACGAAAAGCATTCATTTCTTCATCCATTATCAGTTTTCATCCAAGAGATGACAAGGCTTGTTGGAAGGAACATGGAACAAACATGGAAAACAATAATGGTCCAAAACAACAAATAAGTGTGAAGAGTCTATGAAAGGAGACAACCTTAGCAATAAAATGTTTTGTACAGCTATAAGTATCTTTCTGTCATGCAATGCGCAAATCAAGTGGAGAAGAAATTGCATATCAACTTTGTAACTAGGATCTCAGTAGAATCAATCTTTGGTAGAGAAACTGGAGCATATGGAATCACTTATTCTTCCTTGGAGATGCGGTAAACCGGGAGTGGAGGAGTAGACAATGGAGGGGAAGGATCCACATGATCCGCTAGGCAATGAGCTTGAACCGACTAAAAGATGCTAAACCAAGAGTAAAAGGATGTCTCGACTACAAAAGAAGGAAGATGACTCGGAGAAGATAACATCAATCTAAATATAATATCGATGAGAGACATGATTATTAGATTTGTAACATTACTGAGTACAATAATATTTCTATGAAAACACACTTGCCTGAGCAATTCTTCACTGCACGAACCAAGAAGATTGTCAAAGACAACACACGCAATGCTATGTAGAGTTAAATGGAATGGTGATACATCCGGATAAATTTAAGAGAACGGAGACTTGTTGAGTGAAATGGAGGATGACGTACCGTTATTAAAGCAAACATACACATGAATGATGTTTTCATTTTATGATATCATTTTGGTGGATGTATGTGGACATGTAGTTTGATGGATAATACTGCAAACAACATTAAAAACATTCACTTACGATGGAGTATACTCACGAGCAATGTTAGGATGCAATATTTTAATATGTTTGTCAAACTAAACTAGACTTCCATTTTAAAAAGTAAAACAGTTTCTAGATATTTCACACCAATCTTTCATGAGAAGCAATTAATTCATACGAAAGAAGTCATCAACAAAAACACCAAATTGCCAAAAGGTTGAAATGCTTTTTACTTTGTCAGGACCCCAAATGTCTAGATGAACAATAGTAAAAGGATTGGACTGATGACTCTTAGAATTATGAGAAAAAGAATTATGGTGATGCTTGCTAGTAATGAGTCTCCCATTCTAACGAAAAAAGACTTAAACTAGGAATAACTGACGTAATTTATACAACGAAGGATGACTGAACGAAAAATAGTACCGATAAGAGATATGGTAGCTCTCGAAGTTGGAATGGAACCTCCGTGATCCAAGTAATAAAGACTACCATTATAGTCATTTCTCAAACCAATTGCGTTCTTCGTCTTGTGGTCCCAAAAAATAAAATAAGATTATGAACAATATAAATACTTAGTTAAATGACTTGAAAATAACCACTTAAAAGGAAAATGATGAATTAATAAACCAGAGGTTAAGTGCATGAAATCTGGAGAACAGAGATCCCCATTACGTGAATTAGAAGAACAAAAATAAATGAGTAGGCAGGGAATACAAGATATATGAACACTAACTCCTGGATTAATGCTCCAAGAGGGTGAACAAAATTTGAAAGATACAGTTACAGATAAACTGTGTTGGTCATAGTGGCTGTAGAAGAAGACAAAATGTAGAGAAAGTAAAGACAATAAGTAGATTATCTGCTTTAGCTAAGAAGTATGGTCATCATGATAACTATAAATATATGTAACAAGACTATCAATAAATGCTTGTGTCACAGTAGAGGCCGAAGTGTCATCAAAAGCCTGGTTAGCATATGTCAGTCTCCCATACTTACCTCGACAATAGTCCTTAATATGTGGTCACTAGAATATGTGTATTTCCTCCCGTGAACATAAAGAAGTCCCATTATTAAGAGAAGCATGATGAAAAAGCATTAGAGTAGTAGAAAGTGTCTCACTAGCCAAATCCTAGTATTTGAATACATTGTACTTTGCATGAAGGTTCAGCAACAACAAAACAACTTGGAACTCTACATGTTGACGTCATTGTATCTATAATTTAGTATTCATACCTTGGTGGCCGACAAATCATAAGGTCTTCTCAAAAGGTTTTCAAATCCCTTAATGTTCAGCTAGAGATTTATCAACTTGTTTGGCTTTACACATACGTTTCCAAAACTCATAGATTCAAGACACATTATGTTTACATCTCCGTAAGACAATCCATATTTTTTTGGTCACTTCACGAAGGTGAACATCAGAGGCATTGGAGGTTCCATGGTAACCCACATGCAAGTTATTACTATTGAATTCTCCCATCTTTGGATAGGACCCAACTAGTTTTGAATTTGCTCAGGAATTCACTTGAAAGGTAATGAGGAATTCTGAGCAAAAAAGTGCTCTCTTAACTGAATTTGAAAGTCAATTTCTATTAAACAGTTGCTCCTCTAACTTTATTCTCGACTTGTATTATATATTCAAAAAGGTNGTCAGGAATTCACTTGAAAGGTAATGAGGAATTCTGAGCAAAAAAGTGCTCTCTTAACTGAATTTGAAAGTCAATTTCCATTAAACAGTTGCTCCTCTAACTTTATTCTCGACTTGTATTATATATTCAAAAAGGTTCGCTGTCAACCATTCCACACGTTGCCTAGCTGGAACTCATTTTTTAAGTTGGCTGAAAAGCTCTTACTAGATATGGGTAATAGCAAAGAATAAAAATTTCGTTTCGGTACCTTGTTTCGGTCATCAAGGAAACAGAAACGATTCGACGTGTTTCGAAAACGTTTCGGCCTATTTCGNCAACAAAGAATAAAAATTTCGTTGCGGTACCTTGTTTCAGTCATCAAGGAAACAGAAACGATTCGACGTGTTTCGAAAACGTTTCGGCCTATTTCGAAAACAAAATGAAAAAAAAATTTAAGAATTTATTTTTCAAAATATTGATCGAAATATATTAAAATATTTTGAAATACCTTGAAACATTCCGAAATAATTGTGCAAATGTATTGCAATATAACAAAACATTTCAAAACATTATGGAACACTTTGAAGTATTAAATTTTTGATTCTATCACGGATTTATCTCGGTCTCTTTAGAAACGAAAACATTTCAGACGTTTCAACCGTTTCAAAACGATATTTTAATCCTTGGTAGTAACATATTGTACTAGCTCCTATACCTTAATTATGGATTAACTAGGAGGACTAGCGGAGATGCATTAGCCAAAATCATGGTTCAAAGTATCGGCCAATACCAATACGAGTCGACTGAGTCGTATCCGACTCAACACTTGTCGAGACGATACGTATAAACCTCGAGTNCATTATGGATTAACTAGGAGGACTAGCGGAGATGCATTAGCCAAAATCATGGTTCAAAGTATCGGCCAATACCAATACGAATCGACTGAGTCGTATCCGACTCAACACTTGTCGAGACGATACGTATAAACCTCGAGTCTCGCACGACTCGATCGAGTCGTTCAAGTTGTATTAGAGTCGGTCCCGGGTCGTCGAAATATCGTCGCCGAATTGGCCAAAATTTTTCGTCATGTTCAATATTTTTTTTAGGTCATATTGTCCGATACGGTGCCGCAACGCTGCAACCGATGTGTTTCAGAGCTATCCGAATTGATGGCTAATAACGTAACCTTGAACCATGCCCAAGGTAGCAGTTGTTCTAGCATTATACACGACAAGGTCCTCTTCCAGACTTGAAAGTACTACTCTAGACACTAATCGGTCACTCCAAAGTTGTAGGACTTAGTCGCACCTCTTAGAGGTGGATCAAAGCATTGAAACTAGTAAGATTCGGCCAAACAAATTGATCCAAAGATTGACTCCTATTTTCCAAGGAAAGATTCAAAAATAAAAAAAAAAATTCAGATGTCTTTAAAAAGTTTTCAAAAAATTATAATAAAAGCTAGCATGATGACTATTCTAGGCCTGAGTTCTGGTTGCCAAATATTGTTGACTTCATAATGGTGGATGACATGGTTTAAAGTATCGGCCGATACCGGTACGAGTTGGCCGAGTCGTATCTGACTGGGCACCTTCTGAAACGATACTGGTACACGGTACGTATAAACCCTAAGTCTTGCGCGACTCGGCTGAGTTGTATTCGAGTCAATCTCGAGTTGCTGAGTTATTATCATCGAATAAGCCGATACGATTCCGTGGCGTCGTGGTATGATTTAAATCTCTCGTCCTGTTTAACATTTTCTTGGAGGTCGTATCACCCAATACCACGTCATGACGCCACGACCGATGTGTCTCAGAGCTCTCCGAATCGATGACCGATAGCACTACCTTGAACCATAGTGGATGGTGATGGCAATAGGTGAACAATAGTTTCTCTTCTAAGTCTGTCGTCGTATTTTTTTTGATTTTTTTTTTGATGGGTTCTTGTTTGGATTGATGCCATACCAAGTTCAAGTGCAGAGTAATGAATATTAGGGTTTGAGAAAGAAAAGAAGGAGATGAAGAAAGAAAGAATTGTGTGAATAATGCCTTGTGTGTAGTACCTTTGCCCTAGACCCTGTCATGTAATTTAAATTAGAAAGATACAGGAATTGGGATGCAATTCCAATATTATAAAATAGTGTCTGATGAAACAATGAGAACAAGAACTCTAAAAGGCTTCAATCGCCTTGCGCAGTGGTAATTTGAAACCAAACTACAATGTTAGTTATAGATAACTTCAAAATATTTGCCCAAATAAAAAAATAAAAACTTAAAAATTTTAGTTCGATGTGAGATACCTCTTATCATTGATTGTAAGTATACCAAATTTTTGGTGCATGGAGCTTTGTGAAATTGCACTTTAAGTAGTAATGTTTAAATGTTGCTCTGGAATCGATTGGTTTCAGTTTCCTTGCTAATTGAGACTTGAGATGCCAATGTGTACTTTTCAGTTCTTTTCTATGGCACCTGTATTTTTTCCTAGCCTCTTTTTTTATGTGATNAGTTATTATCATCGAATAAGCCGATACGATTCCGTGGCGTCGTGGTATGATTTAAATCTCTCGTCATGTTAAACATTTTCTTGGAGGTCGTATCACCCAATACCACGTCATGATGCCACGACCGATGTGTCTCAGAGCTCTCCGAATCGATGACCGATAGTACTACCTTGAACCATAGTGGATGGTGATGGCAACAGGTGAACAATAGTTTCTCTTCTAAGTCTATTGTCGTATTTTTTTTGATTTTTTTTTTGATGGGTTCTTGTTTGGATTGATGCCATACCAAGTTGAAGTGCAGAGTAATGAATATTAGGGTTTGAGAAAGAAAAGAAGGAGATGAAGAAAGAAAGAATTGTGTGAATAATGCCTTGTGTGTAGTACCTTTGCCCTAGACCCTGTCATGTAATTTAAATTAGAAAGATACAGGAATTGGGATGCAATTCCAATATTATAAAATAGTGTCTGATGAAACAATGAGAACAAGGACTCTAAGAGGCTTCAATCGCCTTGCGCAGTGGTAATTTGAAACCAAACTACAATGTTAGTTATAGATAACTTCAAAATATTTGCCCAAATAAAAAAATAAAAACTTAAAAATTTTAGTTCGATGTGAGATACCTCTTATCATTGATTGTAAGTATACCAAATTTTTGGTGCATGGAGCTTTGTGAAATTGCACTTTAAGTAGTAATGTTTAAATGTTGCTCTGGAATCGATTGGTTTCAGTTTCCTTGCTAATTGAGACTTGAGATGCCAATGTGTACTTTTCAGTTCTTTTCTATGGCACCTGTATTTTTTCCTAGCCTCTTTTTTTATGTGATGTATTTGATGACGGTGATAAAATGTTCTCTTTATTTTTCACCTGGCAATTCATGAACTACACCAATACAGTGCTTTTACAAGATATGACAATTCTCATACGTGAGTATATTTATTTTCAGGTGCATGCATCATCTGTTCTTAATTTGCTGCAGTCCGACATAAAAGCTGCCTTAAAATCTGCATTTGGCACTTTGGATGGTCCATTGTCTGTCACTGATTGGTGCAAAGGTCGTAGTCAATCTGGTGATGCTGATGGATTTTCTGCTGAATCAACTGCAAGTGTAAGCGAATGTAGAGATTCTGCGAGTACTGTAACTCTTTCTGTTGGAGAGCCAATGAGCCCATCTCAGTCCTCTGCTGGTGGATCGTCTAGCCTTAAAGGTATGCTTATACTTACAAAATAACTGAGATCCCAGACCTTCAGTTGGCCAACAGTTGGGCCATTGACACAGCTTCTATTGTGGCAGACGGAACTAGAATGGATGAGACAAGCGAAAGGAGATCAAACCAGGAAAACTGTATATCAGAGTCAGAACAACAACTGGGCTCGCGACTCAGGCCTTCATTATTTGTACTTCCATTTCCTGCTATACTTGTGGGGTATGATTGAGTGATTACACAATTTTTGGTTTTTGGTTTTTGGCATGTGCTTTCCTTTGCAACATTGAATTGCTAATTGTGCCAGATTAGTCAACCTGACAAAACTGGATATATTAGGATATATTAGTCTTTGTACCGTAAGGTATTATTGAATTATGAGATTGTCGTTAAAATTGGACAGGTGGTTTACTTTTTGGTGGGGTGGAGGGCTTTTGGGGATGCATTATAGCACAGGCCGTGACTACGTTTTTCCGTTGGTTGATGCTGCGTATCGCACGCTTTTTATATATATATTTTTTATAGAAGTGTAACTAATTGAAAACACCTATGAATTAATTCCAAGAAAGCGCCCACTCTCTNATATATTTTTTATAGAAGTATAACTAATTGAAAACACCTATGAATTAATTCCAAGAAAGCGCCCACTCTCTACATTGNACATGCTTTTTATATATATATTTTTTATAGAAGTGTAACTAATTGAAAACACCTATGAATTAATTCCAAGAAAGCGCCCACTCTCTACATTGCCAACCATGTGCTTTGGGTAAATCTGGGCAGAGGCTAAGTTAGATTTCTAATTTCTCAGATGCTGCCCACACCACCTGCGTGGGATAAGAGTGAAATCTTAATAAGAAAGTTAAGCTTTTAAAATAGAATATTGTATCAAGTGGTACTCTGTGTTTAGATGTAGTAGTACATCCAAAATTGAGTTATTACTGGTTCTATCATTCTGTTATAATTTGTACAATAGGTGACTGATTCTCTGATTGGTTAACAGCAGCATTTAAGTGTTTAAAATGACCTTTCAGGTGCCTTAAAATATAGTAACCTGCTTTGCACCTGATGGTGCTGGCAGGCTAGCATGGCTTTTTGTTGTGTAGCTCAAAATTTTATTGTAGTTGTACGTAGAATTAGCAGTAATAGTCAATCATGTAATAGGTATCAGGACGATTGGCTCAAGACGTCAGCGGGCGCTCTACAACTGTGGGAAAAGGCTCCTTTTGAACCCTACGCTATGCAGAAACATGTAAGATTTGTGGAACCAATTGCAACAAGTATTTAGTTTAATAATTTTTTCTCTTTTACAGTCCTGTTGCTAATGAAATCTACTCGAGGTTTTCATTTATGCTTTGATCACGAAGTGATTCTATGACCTTCTTCCCCCTTTTTGTGTTGCGTTGCAGATGACTTACTATGTGGTATGCCCAGACATTGATCCATTAACTGCTGCTGCTTCTGATTTTTTCCAACAACTTGGAACTGGTTAGTGTCTTGAGAAAATCATGTCATGCTTTCGTTCATATTATAGGTGGTTGTACATTTAGCTATAACAATGTTTTAGGTCGCTTTATTGTCGTTAATACTTTTTTTAAAATTTATGTTTAACTCCCCAGGTGGAGGTTGATATAGTTTTAATTACCAAATCTGGATATAAGGAAAGTATCTTTTTGTATAATGTTTTATTGTTCTTTCAGTTCAGTGCAAGTTTCATGACATAGTTCCCTCAGAATTTTATTCCAGGGGTCATCTTGATTGATAAAGGTTTATTGCACTTGATGCAAAGTTATACCTCGTTTGGGGGAGAGGAAGCTAACGAACAATCTCCTAGAGTCAAAAGGAGAATGAAAATTAGTCTGAGAAGTCATGTTTTCAATGCTGATGTTGTATTATTGATACTAAAATTTGAAAAAAAAAGTCTGTCAGGGGAAAGGGAATTGCACGAGACAAGCTTTTCAGGTCGTTTTTGCAGTGTTAATATACTTCTTCAGAGGTCTCTCTTGTATATAACAGACTACTCTCGCTAAGAAGGGTTTTGCCTACAGATACCATTTATGTTGTAGATTTCAGCAACGGATTGTAATACTTGATTATCTTCAGAATTCTGTCATTTGTGATTGTATTACCTGCATTTTAGTTTTACATGCCTGCAGAATTCTGTCATTTGTGTGCCTGTCTCTTTAGCATGCATAGCAAATTGCCGTTACATTGCATCTTATGGATTAACCACACTTGCATGGATGCTTCCGTATACTATTGTATGAGTGTGCATGGTAAAAATTTTTCCTTTGCAACCATAGTCATATGCCTCAGCTGTATGCCTCTATATGTTCAAGCACACAGATTCATGGCAGAATTGCATCTTATCCACTGTGTTTTGAGTGCGTACACAGATGTTTTGTTTCTAGATTTCTGCATAAAAGCTCTTTTATTCTTTGTTTCTTTCAGTTTACGAGACTTGCAAATTGGGAACCCATTTGCCTCAAAGTGTGGGAAAACAAATGGAGATGGACTCTGGTAAATGGTCATCTTCTGGTTTTGTTCTGCTTGATGGCCCTCAATCCATGAAGATAGAAAGCAATAGTGCATCTTTGGTGGGATCAATCAGTGATTATTTTCTATCTCTGTCCAATGGTTGGGATTTGACAAGCTTTCTGAAGTCTCTTTCAAAGGTTCTTAAAGCTTTAAAACTTGGTTCATGCTTGACCACAAACCCAAAAGAAGGAATTAGTGGTCCTTGTACGGTAAGTCGTGAGTTCTCCTTACCTGCATTTGTAATTGTAGGTTGGAATATCAAAATTCATTAACCAACATGAAAGGTTCCAATAGTATTTTGGGCAGATTACACTAACCTCCTTTGAGTTTTGGGAATACTATGCACGGTTCCCTTGTCTTTTGGAAAATGTTAGAGGCCTTCCTTGCTAAAGACGATGTGGCATTGATGATTTTAATATTCTACCTTTGTTTATAGTACATAACCTAGGAAGCACGGATATGGACAAGGGTACGATAAGGATACGGTTAATTAAAATAATATTATATATTTTTTATATAAATAATATTAATAATGAGACCAAAAAAATTATTGAGTAGTTGGTTAATATCTTACAATAATTAAGTAATGAGATAATATTAGAATGAGTTTTTTGGGTTTAACACCAAAGTGGGCTGTGGATTAGCAAATACTAAATAAGTTATACAATACTAATAAACAACGTCTATTCAGTTGAGAGAGAGAGAGAGAGAGAAGAAAAAGAAAAAGAAAAAATTGTCCAGCTAGGGCACCGATATAGAAGTTGCCGGAGAGGAGAAGCAGCTGGAGATAGGAAGAAGAAAGAAATAAGGAAGAAGGAAAGAAGCAGATCCGAAGCTATGGTGTGTCCCTTCGCCTCTTCTCTCTCTGTCGACGATCTGTTGTTTCTTTTTCCCAGCCCCTTATTCTCTTACGAAATGTCCCTTCACCTCTTCTCTCTCTGTCGACGATCTGCTTCTTCTTCTTTCTTTTTTCTCTTTTTTCCTAGCCCCTAATTCCCGTATCCCACCCATATCTTTCCCGTATCTCTCCCACATCCGAATTTTTTTTTTATTTTCTATTCAGGACACTTGTAGAAGTGTTAGACATGTGTCCAACATTACCATGTCGACCATCGACGGAGTATCCGTGTTTCCTAGTATATAACTCTTTGTCAAAAGTGAAAATATTCTTTTGTCCTTTCTATCCTAAAATACATCTATATAATAAAGTAGAATGAGTTTTGAATTTAGAGACAGCGCGACTGAGATCGTTTCGGGACAAATTAAAGTATCATCCGAATAAATAATTTGTATTAAAATGAGGATTTATTTGGGTTTGATAGGTTGTAGATTTACTTAGACATGTTAAATAGGTCGGGTTCGTCTTGTTGATTGTTTTATGGGGGTTATCACAACCCAATTGTGACCCCTGTACTAAACATGTTGGTAGTGGGTCGTGTCAACCAGAATACAATTTGTTTATTAAGTGTTACACTGGTCATGCTCTGATTATTAGTGTTATAAGCGAATGGTATTCGTCTGAGGTCATTTTGACATGATTAACTAGATAGTTTGTGTTAGGGTAGAGAGATTTTTGACATGAATCGAGATAACACAAAACGGTTTGATTGTCGTCCATACTTTAGGCATTGCGGGTGTTCAATTTTTTTGGATGAATTTTCAATTTTNCTGCATTTTAGTTTTACATGCCTGCAGAATTCTGTCATTTGTGTGCCTGTCTCTTTAGCATGCATAGCAAATTGCCGTTACATTGCATCTTATGGATTAACCACACTTGCATGGATGCTTCCGTATACTATTGTATGAGTGTGCATGGTAAAAATTTTTCCTTTGCAACCATAGTCATATGCCTCAGCTGTATGCCTCTATATGTTCAAGCACACAGATTCATGGCAGAATTGCATCTTATCCACTGTGTTTTGAGTGCGTACACAGATGTTTTGTTTCTAGATTTCTGCATAAAAGCTCTTTTATTCTTTGTTTCTTTCAGTTTACGAGACTTGCAAATTGGGAACCCATTTGCCTCAAAGTGTGGGAAAACAAATGGAGATGGACTCTGGTAAATGGTCATCTTCTGGTTTTGTTCTGCTTGATGGCCCTCAATCCATGAAGATAGAAAGCAATAGTGCATCTTTGGTGGGATCAATCAGTGATTATTTTCTATCTCTGTCCAATGGTTGGGATTTGACAAGCTTTCTGAAGTCTCTTTCAAAGGTTCTTAAAGCTTTAAAACTTGGTTCATGCTTGACCACAAACCCAAAAGAAGGAATTAGTGGTCCTTGTACGGTAAGTCGTGAGTTCTCCTTACCTGCATTTGTAATTGTAGGTTGGAATATCAAAATTCATTAACCAACATGAAAGGTTCCAATAGTATTTTGGGCAGATTACACTAACCTCCTTTGAGTTTTGGGAATACTATGCACGGTTCCCTTGTCTTTTGGAAAATGTTAGAGGCCTTCCTTGCTAAAGACGATGTGGCATTGATGATTTTAATATTCTACCTTTGTTTATAGTACATAACCTAGGAAGCACGGATATGGACAAGGGTACGATAAGGATACGGTTAATTAAAATAATATTATATATTTTTTATATAAATAATATTAATAATGAGACCAAAAAAATTATTGAGTAGTTGGTTAATATCTTACAATAATTAAGTAATGAGATAATATTAGAATGAGTTTTTTGGGTTTAACACCAAAGTGGGCTGTGGATTAGCAAATACTAAATAAGTTATACAATACTAATAAACAACGTCTATTCAGTTGAGAGAGAGAGAGAGAGAGAAGAAAAAGAAAAAGAAAAAATTGTCCAGCTAGGGCACCGATATAGAAGTTGCCGGAGAGGAGAAGCAGCTGGAGATAGGAAGAAGAAAGAAATAAGGAAGAAGGAAAGAAGCAGATCCGAAGCTATGGTGTGTCCCTTCGCCTCTTCTCTCTCTGTCGACGATCTGTTGTTTCTTTTTCCCAGCCCCTTATTCTCTTACGAAATGTCCCTTCACCTCTTCTCTCTCTGTCGACGATCTGCTTCTTCTTCTTTCTTTTTTCTCTTTTTTCCTAGCCCCTAATTCCCGTATCCCACCCATATCTTTCCCGTATCTCTCCCACATCCGAATTTTTTTTTTATTTTCTATTCAGGACACTTGTAGAAGTGTTAGACATGTGTCCAACATTACCATGTCGACCATCGACGGAGTATCCGTGTTTCCTAGTATATAACTCTTTGTGAAAAGTGAAAATATTCTTTTGTCCTTTCTATCCTAAAATACATCTATATAATAAAGTAGAATGAGTTTTGAATTTTAGAGACAACGCGACTGAGATCGTTTCGGGACAAATTAAAGTATCATCCGAATAAATAATTTGTATTAAAATGAGGATTTATTTGGGTTTGATAGGTTGTAGATTTACTTAGACATGTTAAATAGGTCGGGTTCGTCTTGTTGATTGTTTTATGGGGGTTATCACAACCCAATCGTGACCCCTGTACTAAACATGTTGGTAGTGGGTCGTGTCAACCAGAATACAATTTGTTTATTAAGTGTTACACTGGTCATGCTCTGATTATTAGTGTTATAAGCGAATGGTATTCGTCTGAGGTCATTTTGACATGATTAACTAGATAGTTTGTGTTAGGGTAGAGAGATTTTTGACATGAATCGAGATAACACAAAACGGTTTGATTGTCGTCCATACTTTAGGCATTGCGGGTGTTCAATTTTTTTGGATGAATTTTCAATTTTTTAATAATTTTTTTTTGGTTATGTAGTGTCTTGGGCAATTACTAGTACATTTATATTGTATAGACTTTACATGACTGGAAATGGAATTGCCATGGACACCAACCACCACCTCCTCCATCATGACCTTCTTGACATAACCACTAGTCAACCATCTTGTCTCGTCTCACTCTCTCTGCCTATCTATAGCTCTTTGCAAGCGTCTCAATCTCTATCAACCACATCACCACGATTGCCCACAGCTCCCTCCCTTACACACCCATATGCTCACCGTCATCACATTCCATTTTAAATTTAATTCATAATTAAATTAATAATTAAGAAATATCGTAAAAAAATAGAGAAACTTCTATTTTCAAGGTCAGGTTAATAAAGTCATGAAACATTTCGATTTATTTATCTCTTATTTTTTATCTAATGGATTTACTTGGACCAATACATGATTTTCTTTTAGTCTTTCTTGGATCGGGTCTTATATTAGGAGGTTTAGGAGCAGTATTACTTCCCCATCCAATTTATTCTGTCTTTTCATTGGGACTGGTTCTTGTTTGTATATCTTTATTCTATATTCTATCGAACTCTCATTTTGTAGCTGCTGTGCAACTCCTTATTTATGTAGGTGCTATAAATGTTTTAATCATTTTTGTTGTAATGTTCATGAACGGTTCAAAATATTACAAAGATTTTCATCTTTCCCAATGTTTTCACGCGTGCTTGTAATAATGATCATCACCATTCCAAGTTTTCACTAACCCAATTACCCTTGAATTTTCTCTCATTAAAATCATCTCAGCTAGAGGGATCTCAATTATAATGGTCTTTGTAAACAATGTTCATAGATGAAATCAAATTAAAAACATGCTTGAAATTTGTAGAAAATCCAAATCAATTGTGCTTATCAAAATTGCGGGAAACACTTTGCACTCTACTCAGTTTCACCAACATTGATATAGTTGTGGTGGAGTCTCCCATGATGTTGGTAGACTAGGGTGTAGCATTGGCGGGGTAGGGTGTTGTGTTCTAGAATGGGGCCGTAAGTGATGCTTGTTTGGTGGATGACTAGAGGTGGTTTTGTGCAATGGTTGCAACCAAAGGTCGTGGAGGGGTGGCAGTGAGGTGGTTTTTCCATAATATATTTTTCTGTGTAGAAATGTGGAATATGCTTTGCAAATCTTTTTCTCTGAATTCGCTGAATGAGTTCTCACTAAGTTGACACAAATTTACTGTTGCATTGGACTCATGGGTGATGATTGAATTGTCTAATGAGGGTTAGCATTATTAGTATACTGTAAAGTGATGTCAGATTTTTAGTCATCCTCATTCAGTGACATTGAACCGAAGGAGAGGAATATATTACGAAGTCCAAAACTCAAGAAAAGTTTGTCATTTTCCAAAATGCAAGAACCGCGAGGGAAGTAATTGTAGTTGATCTCCAAGTATTGTCATATGTCTCATCTTGATTTTTCCTTGTTTTCTATGTTGTTAATTTCTTTTACTAGGAGCTTTAAGTTCAATTTGCTTTCTCTTCTTTTTCGTTGANGAAAAGTGAAAATATTCTTTTGTCCTTTCTATCCTAAAATACATCTATATAATAAAGTAGAATGAGTTTTGAATTTTAGAGACAACGCGACTGAGATCGTTTCGGGACAAATTAAAGTATCATCCGAATAAATAATTTGTATTAAAATGAGGATTTATTTGGGTTTGATAGGTTGTAGATTTACTTAGACATGTTAAATAGGTCGGGTTCGTCTTGTTGATTGTTTTATGGGGGTTATCACAACCCAATTGTGACCCCTGTACTAAACATGTTGGTAGTGGGTCGTGTCAACCAGAATACAATTTGTTTATTAAGTGTTACACTGGTCATGCTCTGATTATTAGTGTTATAAGCGAATGGTATTCGTCTGAGGTCATTTTGACATGATTAACTAGATAGTTTGTGTTAGGGTAGAGAGATTTTTGACATGAATCGAGATAACACAAAACGGTTTGATTGTCGTCCATACTTTAGGCATTGCGGGTGTTCAATTTTTTTGGATGAATTTTCAATTTTTTAATAATTTTTTTTTGGTTATGTAGTGTCTTGGGCAATTACTAGTACATTTATATTGTATAGACTTTACATGACTGGAAATGGAATTGCCATGGACACCAACCACCACCTCCTCCATCATGACCTTCTTGACATAACCACTAGTCAACCATCTTGTCTCGTCTCACTCTCTCTGCCTATCTATAGCTCTTTGCAAGCGTCTCAATCTCTATCAACCACATCACCACGATTGCCCACAGCTCCCTCCCTTACACACCCATATGCTCACCGTCATCACATTCCATTTTAAATTTAATTCATAATTAAATTAATAATTAAGAAATATCGTAAAAAAATAGAGAAACTTCTATTTTCAAGGTCAGGTTAATAAAGTCATGAAACATTTCGATTTATTTATCTCTTATTTTTTATCTAATGGATTTACTTGGACCAATACATGATTTTCTTTTAGTCTTTCTTGGATCGGGTCTTATATTAGGAGGTTTAGGAGCAGTATTACTTCCCCATCCAATTTATTCTGTCTTTTCATTGGGACTGGTTCTTGTTTGTATATCTTTATTCTATATTCTATCGAACTCTCATTTTGTAGCTGCTGTGCAACTCCTTATTTATGTAGGTGCTATAAATGTTTTAATCATTTTTGTTGTAATGTTCATGAACGGTTCAAAATATTACAAAGATTTTCATCTTTCCCAATGTTTTCACGCGTGCTTGTAATAATGATCATCACCATTCCAAGTTTTCACTAACCCAATTACCCTTGAATTTTCTCTCATTAAAATCATCTCAGCTAGAGGGATCTCAATTATAATGGTCTTTGTAAACAATGTTCATAGATGAAATCAAATTAAAAACATGCTTGAAATTTGTAGAAAATCCAAATCAATTGTGCTTATCAAAATTGCGGGAAACACTTTGCACTCTACTCAGTTTCACCAACATTGATATAGTTGTGGTGGAGTCTCCCATGATGTTGGTAGACTAGGGTGTAGCATTGGCGGGGTAGGGTGTTGTGTTCTAGAATGGGGCCGTAAGTGATGCTTGTTTGGTGGATGACTAGAGGTGGTTTTGTGCAATGGTTGCAACCAAAGGTCGTGGAGGGGTGGCAGTGAGGTGGTTTTTCCATAATATATTTTTCTGTGTAGAAATGTGGAATATGCTTTGCAAATCTTTTTCTCTGAATTCGCTGAATGAGTTCTCACTAAGTTGACACAAATTTACTGTTGCATTGGACTCATGGGTGATGATTGAATTGTCTAATGAGGGTTAGCATTATTAGTATACTGTAAAGTGATGTCAGATTTTTAGTCATCCTCATTCAGTGACATTGAACCGAAGGAGAGGAATATATTATGAAGTCCAAAACTCAAGAAAAGTTTGTCATTTTCCAAAATGCAAGAACCGCGAGGGAAGTAATTGTAGTTGATCTCCAAGTATTGTCATATGTCTCATCTTGATTTTTCCTTGTTTTCTATGTTGTTAATTTCTTTTACTAGGAGCTTTAAGTTCAATTTGCTTTCTCTTCTTTTTCGTTGAACATTATTTTCCTCAATAATATGCTTTTTATATCTATTTTAATTGATACGATGCATATATGTTCAATGTTTTTCAAGTTTTGCAAGCTACATCTTCTTTTTTTCCCGCAAGCACAACCATATCTTATTTGATAACAATTTTTTTGCGGGTTTTACCTCTTTTTTTTTTTTGAAACTGTAGTACGTTCATGATAGGCTTACTAATCAAATAAATGTTTGCACATTCTTGGGAGGGGTATTTGTGTTACAACACAGATTTTAGGGGACTGTTATGTCATTAGTGGAGTACTGCGGCATCTTTGTGTAATTAGTCAAGTGCTGTTTCTGCTATAATGCGGTTACTTAGGGCCTTTTTGTGCACTTAGTGGATACCTAGACACCAAGAACTACTTTACTACTTTCTCCTTAATTGACAATATAAAATCTGTAAATCAGTAAAATATAAATCGGAAATGTTGCCAGTGAGCTTGTTGCTAAGCCTGTCAATGATATTCCATGAATTCAAATTGGATATTCTAATATCCGATCTGCTTGTGATCCATTGTGAATTATATATATGATAAGTTGTAAGTTGGTAAATTCAATTCCATACTCGGATTGGATTGTGTTTTCAGTTTTTAAGGATTCAGATAGGGATAGTAAAAATGAAATTTCAAATCTAGTCTGTATTGGGATTCAGCTTTGTGAAACTTTGATCTGTCCTTATTAATTGACAAGCCTACGTATTGCACACTCGCATCATTTCTTTGCTCCATTTGAAAAAAAATTCTGGAATCATATTGGCCTTCTTTAAATGGTATGGATTGAGGAAAACATAAATTTCTAGGAATGTGGAAAAAGATTTTTTCCAGTGATTGCACTAGATAAAATTTCACAAAGGAAAAGAAGAAAAAAATATGCAATGAAAGAAGAATAGGAAAGTAGTAAGAATGCCAAGAATTCAGTTTTTCAGCTAGCGGATAAAGTGATTACAAGGGTGCTCAACTTCGTTATTAAACTTTTATCCTAGCTACTTGGGGTCGGCTCTTTTATTTTTTTTCTCACCATTCTGTTCTGCCTAGTACCATGCTCTCNTATTAAACTTTTATCCTAGCTACTTGGGGTCGGCTCTTTTATTTTTTTTCCCACCATTCTGTTCTGCGTAGTACCATGCTCTTGGCCAAATGTTGGTTATTATTTCTTTCTTTATTGTCTTTATTTACATTAATTTAGGTTTTCCTATACCTATAGTGTTACCATCTGTAGGGATCACATTACTCTTTTTACAGGTACACTCAAAAGCCTTCTTTCACATGCCAAAACTACCTTAGTATATTTTCTCTCAATTTATCTCAGTAATAAAGTTACTCGAATTGCATCGAGACTTTTTAAGTAAAACAGTCATGAGGAGACATTAAAAAACAAAAGGACACGAAATCTTCATAGCTGATCCCTGTGAGCTCAAATACTTTTCATTGTGCTCTGCAACATAAATTATAAATATAATACAGGTAGATCTGGCAATCGGCTGTAGTGGGATTATTCTGGATAGGGTGCTATTAGACATGCATATATTATTCAAGAGAAGTCCTTCCTGATTTTACACAACATATGTGGTTGATTCTTGTTATCAGGTAATCTATGTGGTGTGCCCTTTCCCTGAGCCTATGGCAGTTCTACAGACTGTTGTTGAATCATCTATTGCTGTTGGATCTGTCATTCTTTCGTCAGATAAAGAAAGGAGATCTACAATGCATTATCAAGTTGGGAAGGCATTAAGCTGCTCGACAGCTGTGGATGAAGCATATGTATCAAATGTTCTAACACTTTCAGGGTTCAGTATACCTAAATTGGTGTTGCAGATTGTTACGGTTGATACCATTTTCAGGGTTACAACTCCAGCTCTTAGTGAACTTGTCATACTTAAGGAGATTGCTTTCACCATTTACAATAAAGCTCGAAGAATTTCACGAGGATCCTATAGTGATGTGGTTCCATCATCGTCCCTATCTAATAGATCTTCTTCAGTCATGATGCAAATGTCTTCTCCAATTCCAGGGATGTGGAAGGATTGTGTTGCTTCTCGTATTGGGGGACCTGCCCTTCCCAGAGAGGGTGACTATGATGCTAGCTTGAGGGCTGGTGCTTGGGATAATTCTTGGCAAATGTCAAGGACTGGAGGACTAGGACACAACCCAAATTTTCTTCCAGATGAAATTCGTTTCATGTTTGAACCCCTTTTTATTCTTGCGGAACCTGGTTCCCTAGAGCGTGGAGTTTCACCTCCTGTTTTTGGGAATCTAGCATCTGAATCTTCAAAGCTGTTGTTGGATGATGGTACTAGTGGCAGCTTTATGCAGAGTTCAATTACATCAGGAAGTGTAGATAGTGGAACAAGCTTTCATTTTGAGGGATCGGAGTCGGATGGTTTTGGATCTGGCCACCAAAAGACACTTGCAAGCCTACATTGTTGCTATGGTTGGACTGAAGATTGGCGTTGGCTAGTATGCATTTGGACAGATTCGCGGGGAGAATTGCTGGACAGCTCTGTATTCCCTTTCGGTGGTATTAGTAGTAGGCAAGATACGAAGGGTCTCCAATCACTTTTTGTCCAAATTCTGCAACAAGGGTGTCAGGTTCTTCAGGCTTGTTCTCCTGATACTGGCATTGCCAAGCCTAGAGATTTTGTGATCACACGCATTGGATGCTTCTTTGAGCTTGAGTGTCAGGGTATATCATTTTCTTCCATGACCTTTCATTATGATTCATTCTTTTTGTTATCTTATATTGTTGAGTTTTAGAAAATTCAGAAAACTGCTAATTGCTTTCTCGTGTTGAGTGGTTTTCTATGTCAAATGTTTGATGATTAAGGGTGGCTGCTTGATTTGTTTGTTGTGACTGCTGCAATACTTTGATCAAATCACCCTTGATCTTTTTCTACAAGTAATGAATATCCATGAAAATTCATTCCATTTGCACGAAATATGTTAGGAGAAATAAGTTGCAGTTTGAGGGGCCACGGTGATTGTCTGATATGAAGTTTTACAGCATGCTACAATATATTGCTCTTGAAACCTGCTGGTGACTAGGAGTTGATAGAGATTATGGAGCCACTTATAATTATCATTCTGTTGGCCTAAGAATTTAACGGCAATATTAAATGATGCTATAGATTGTAGTTTCTCTTTGTATTTCCTCATCACGGGGGTATTTTTCTTGTATTTTCTAACTCAATGCCAATATGTTTGTAAACAGAATGGCAGAAAGCTCTCTATTCTATTGGGGGTTCTGAGGTGAAAAAGTGGCCTCTGCAGCTACGAAGAGCTGTGCCCGATGGGATGCCTGCTAGCAACAGTGGAACTTCATTGCAGCAACAAGAGATGAGTTTAGTACAAGAGAGAACCCTACCTTCTTCACCTGGTCATTTGTACAGTCCTCACTCAAAGGCTTCTGCTTTCATGAAAGGTGGTTTGGGACAAGCCTCTGGTAGAAAACAGATAATGGGTGGTCAGACTATGGTGGACACCTCTAGGGGTTTACTTCAATGGGTGCAAAGCATCACTTTCATCTCCGTTTCAGTTGATCATTCTTTACACCTAGTTTGTCATGCAGATTCAACATCTCCTGGTACCTACTTTTCTTGTTTTACTTTCTCATTCCTCATCCATTCTCCCATCAAATTCATTCCATGTCCTGGTTTAGGGTTACAACACACTGCATTTTTGTTTAACTAATTTTTATAGGCAGCACATGTCGTTGAAAACATGAAGGGCCACAAACATAATGTTTTTTTTAATGTTTCATCCTATTATTGAAGCTTTTTTTGTGCCCTAAATGTTAATTGGATGCTATTTCTCGCGTACAAATGTGCCAAAGTTTCTCAATGGTGGTAATCAAATTGAATTAAGACTAAATCTATGCAGATATACACACGTGTAGTCGTTGGAATTTATTATTGGATTGCCATCCAAATTCATTCCTGTTAGCAGGTTCGCTAATCCTAGATATATATTGGATTTAGTTTTGTTTATTCAATCCAGATAGTCATAGCATAAGCATTCACCATAGGCACAAAGTAACAATTAGCGTTATCGGATGGAAAAGAGGGAGGAAAACAATGCCCAAATGTTGGTCTTATTATTACCTTTTGTGTGTGCAATAACTATCCAGACATTTGTTACTAGCTGTCCTTTGGAAATGTGATGGGNCAAAGTAACAATTAGCGTTATCGGATGGAAAAGAGGGAGGAAAACAATGCCCAAATGTTGGTCTTATTATTACCTTTTATGTGTGCAATAACTATCCAGACATTTGTTACTAGCTGTCCTTTGGAAATGTGATGGGAGAGAGGAAAAAGAGAGAAGAAAAGGGGGGGGGGGGGGGGGGGGGTAGGTAGGTATATTATGGGATGGCTGTCCTAATTATCTATTAGCGAGGGCNGTGGGGGGTAGGTAGGCTTAGGGGTAAAAAAAAAAAAAAGTTCTAGTTACAAGTGAAAGGCTTATATATTGATTTACTGGGACCTAGTGCTAAAATTTTGTGGTTTTAATCATGATACTTGTTGGTATGCATGTTTGGCATTACGGGACATTATTCTTCATTCCGTGTTGAATTGGGACTTTGGGCGCATGTAGACACCTGTATTATCCTCAAGGATCAAAATATCGTTTCGCCGTATTATTTCGGTCACATAGGAAACGGAAAACGTTTCGACGTATTTCAGAAACGTTTCGACGTATTTCAGAAACGTTTCGATCCATTTCAGAAATTTAATGAAAAAAATAAAAAATTTAAGGATTATTTTTCTAAAACATTGATGAAAATATATCAAAATATCTTGAAACATTCTAAAACAATTGTGCAAATGCATTGAAATATTGTAATATATTTAAAAACATTATGGAATACNCGTATTTCAGAAACGTTTCGATCCATTTCAGAAATTTAATGAAAAAAATAAAAAATTTAAGAATTATTTTTCTAAAACATTGATGAAAATATATCAAAATATCTTGAAACATTCTAAAACAATTGTGCAAATGCATTGAAATATTGTAATATATTTAAAAACATTATGGAATACCTCAAAATATCAGAATTTCGATTTCATCACTGTTTCGTTTTGGTCTTTTTGGAAATGGAAATGTTTTGGATGTTTCAACCGTTTTGAAACGATATTTTAATCTTTGATTATCCTAAACCATACATGGTGTATTGTTTTTCTTTAGTTTGAAAAGTGTCATACATTGAAAAATCTGCGCTATTTTAAATCTCTAAATAATTGACCAATGACCACAACTGTTGGCATATGTTCTTACCTGAAACGGTCCTAGTTTCTCAAAATCTCTTCAGCAAATGAATTGGTTAGAACCCCGGNTGGTCTTTTTGGAAATGGAAACGTTTTGGATGTTTCGACCGTTTTGAAACGATATTTTAATCTTTGACCACAACTGTTGGCATATGTTCTTACTTGAAACGGTCCTAGTTTCTCAAAATCTCTTCAGCAAATGAATTGGTTAGAACCCCGGGTGGTCGTGGGAGGGTTTTTTTTTCTTTAAAGTGTTTGCTCAATGACTCCTACAATTATGAAGGACTCAGTTTAATTTATTGTTTTTCATTTTACAAAGATCCCTGATCAATATTTGTCAAAAGGTTGGCCCCCAAACAAACTAGGCACTAATTCTAGGAGCTGTTATTGATTTCTTCCTCATTTCACTACATGTAATGATTTGTTTAATCAATCTAGAAAATTTCAAGGATGCAACTTTGTTAGGAGAACAAAAAGCCTAGTGATCCAAGGCCTAATATACAAATCTGGTTCTCATACTCACCTAAAAACTTAAGTTTATAGGTGGTGAGCCTATCAATAGTATATTAGGACACTTTAACTTATTTTTCTATCTGATATGGGATTTTTACACATGCAATACTCACCAATCTCCCCCTCATGTGTGAACCACATCTAGCTTAGCTCCTTGAGTTTGATCCACAACGTTCCACAACCACCGCGTCCTACCATTCTTTTTGTAAGAATCCGCAATTCCAAGAACTAAGCTTTTACTGCTCATTATGAGTCACCCTACCAAGAGTCCTTGCGCTCGGGCTCGTGCATTGCTCTTTTTTTCAAGTTGCTTTTCGGTGACTTTAATACCAAACCAACAACCCATCACTTTTCTTTGGAGCCACCATTAATGTTGACACATTATACTACTTCGAGAGTTCACCTAGGATCGTTAGCCTTCAGTTTTGATACCATTTGTTGGTAGATTAGGGAGCCCAATTATCCAAGGCTCAATATATATGTCTGGAACCCATTCCAACCTAAAATTTTAAGCCTATAGGTGGTGAACTAATTAATAGTACATTAGGACATTTTAATTTATTTTTCTATCCGATGTGAGATTCCCGCACATATTATACNATGGGATTTTTACACATGCAATACTCACCAATCTCCCCCTCATGTGTGAACCACATCTGGCTTAGCTCCTTGAGTTTGATCCACAACGTTCCACAACCACCGCGTCCTACCATTCTTTTTGTAAGAATCCGCAATTCCAAGAACTAAGCTTTTACTGCTCATTATGAGTCACCCTACCAAGAGTCCTTGCGCTCGGGCTCGTGCATTGCTCTTTTTTTCAAGTTGCTTTTCGGTGACTTTAATACCAAACCAACAACCCATCACTTTTCTTTGGAGCCACCATTAATGTTGACACATTATACTACTTCGAGAGTTCACCTAGGATCGTTAGCCTTCAGTTTTGATACCATTTGTTGGTAGATTAGGGAGCCCAATTATCCAAGGCTCAATATATATGTCTGGAACCCATTCCAACCTAAAATTTTAAGCCTATAGGTGGTGAACTAATTAATAGTACATTAGGACATTTTAATTTATTTTTCTATCCGATGTGAGATTCCCGCACATATTATACCCAACAATCTTCCCCTCATGTGTGAACCACATTAGGTTTAGCTCCCCTTTGAGTCTGATTCAATAATATTTACAAGCACTGCATCTAACCATTATCGAGCTTGCTCTTCTAAGAGCCAAGTTTTTATCACTTTTTATGAGTCACCGCAGTACCACTCGACCAAGATTCTTTGCGCTCAAGCCTGTGCCCTGCACTTTTTTTTTGAGTTGAGTTTCAATGACTTTAGTACCAAGAACTCATTACATTTCTTGAGAGCCACCATTAGTATCGGCATGCTACATCGCTTCTTTGAGAGTTCACTTAGAATCACCATCAACCTGTTTTGATACATGGTTCAAAGTATTGACCGATATCGATACAAGTTAACCGAGTGATATCCGACTTGACGGCTTTCGAGACGATACCGTTACATGATACGTATAAACTCCGAGTCTCGCACGACTTGACTAAGTCGTCCGAGTTATATTCAAATAAATTTTGAGTCGGTGAATTAATGTTACTGAATCAACCAATATGATTCCGTGAGATCGCGATATGACCTGAAATCTCTCATCATATTCAACCTTTTCTTTTAGGTTATATCGCTCGATACTATAATGTATCTTTATGACCTATGTGTCTCGGAGCTCTCCGAGTTGATGACCGATACCCTAATCTTGAACCATGCTCTAATATCATTTATTGGGAGATTGGGGAGTATGGTTCAAAGTATCAGCTGATACCGATATGATTCGGTTGCATCATATCTGACTCAGCGTCTTCTGAGTCGAAATCATTACATGTTAGTATAAATCCTGAGTCTCACACAACTTGGCCAAGTCTTCTGAGTTGTCTCCAAGTCAATCTCGAGAGGGCTTACCTCGTCTGTGTCACAACTACTGATATTTTGAGTGAGGGAAGCCAAAACATTGGTCAATAGAGAGAAAGAAGAGGAACTATAGATCAAGAAAGTCATATTAGCTACACCTGACCAGACACACCTTTTTTTGATTGACCGGACTGGCCAACTCTCAACCAAGTAATAAATTTTTTGCCAAATTATCATCACCAAATCAGTTGATACGATTTCGTGACGCTACGATATTATTTGAGTTTCTCATCATATTCAACATTTTCTTTTATGTTGTATCGCTCAATACTGCACCGCGACACCACAATTAATGTGTCTCAAAGCTCTACTAGTGGATGGTTGATAACTTGACCATGCTTAGAGTAAAAAAAGAAATTGACTTGACTTGTATAATATAGGTTGTTAGCTGATTCATGAGGGTACTTGTTCTTAGTGTTTTAATTATAGTAGTTGTTTTGTTTGCTTGAATTATGTTGAAATATTAGCTGAATCGTGGGTCGTTTTGGTACGTGGTATAGGTATGGAAATTTCGTATGCCATTTTCTTAGTTANTTGACCGATATCGATACAAGTTAACCGAGTGATATCCGACTTGACGGCTTTCGAGACGATACCGTTACATGATACGTATAAACTCCGAGTCTCGCACGACTTGACTAAGTCGTCCGAGTTGTATTCAAATAAATTTTGAGTCGGTGAATTAATGTTACTGAATCAACCAATATGATTCCGTGAGATCGCGATATGACCTGAATCTCTCATCATATTCAACCTTTTCTTTTAGGTTATATCGCTCGATACTATAACGTATCTTTATGACCTATGTGTCTCGGAGCCTTCCGAGTTGATGACCGATACCCTAATCTTGAACCATGCTCTAATATCATTTATTGGGAGATTGGGGAGTATGGTTCAAAGTATCAGCTGATACCGATATGATTCGGTTGCA